TTGTTTGCTTGTTTTAATCAATTTTAAATCATGCTTTTTATTTGTTTTTGTTTCTAATGTCTCTGTAAAGCACTTTGAATCACCTTGTTGTTGAATTGTGCTATACAAATAAATTTGCCTTGCCTTGCCTTAAACAAACTTGAATATTTTCTGATAAAATAAGCAGAAAGAAATGTGTAAATGAGGACAATTTGGCAAGAAAAATGACCAGAAAATGTGACTGTTTCATTTAATTAATTAAACAAAAATGGAAAAGGATTTCTTGCCATAAATTTACAACTTGTCAGAAATAAAAAATATTTTTTTCTGAATATTAGTCCAGAATATTAATCCACTCCATCTTTATTTCCATATTTTATTCCGTCATCCCGCAGTGGTGGCCATCTACGACTACTCCCGCGACAAAGAGGACGAGCTTTCGTTCCAGGAGGGCGCCATCATCTACGTGATCAAGAAGAACGATGACGGCTGGTTCGAGGGCGTCATGAACGGGACCACGGGCCTCTTCCCCGGCAACTACGTCGAGTCCATCATGCACTACGCTGACTGAGCGGCGCCTCCCTGAGCAGGAGAGGAAATGGGAGGAGCGCTTGTTGGGGATGGGAGCGGGGGGAGGGAAGGGTTAAAGGTCAAAGACTTTGATCGAACAGAGCATGATCACCTCCGGGCGAAGAGAGCAAAGAGCAGGGAGGCAAAGAGGAGGCAGGATTTGGTTTTTTTTTTTTTTTTTTTTTTTTTTTGAAGAAGAAGAAGAAATTGGACATGACAGACTCGGTCATTCTCGTGACTTAGTCACCGCTATAAAACGACCACTACTCTAGATATAAGCTTCCCTGTAACGTTTCTTTCTTTGTGACTTTGTTTGATTAACGAGGAGGACTGGGCGGTGATGGGTTTGTTACTTTTTGAGAGTTTGTTTCACACTACGAGGCCACTAAATTGATTTCTGCTTCTTTTATGTTTTTTATTCCTTGTGTTTTTAGCAGTTTGCCCAATATTTATTTGTAGTTGGGGGGGGGGGGATGAGCGGGTAGATGAGGCTTCGGAAAAAAAGGGCTGGAGGAAAATGCCTTCAGGTTTCGTTATTCTCAGACACTCCAGATGCAACAGCAATATCCTCAGTGAGACGCATGGATGGGCGGGTGAGGGCACGGAGCGTGCCAAAGCTGATGAAGATAAGCACATCAGATGTCTTAATGTGATCCACGAAGCTAGATAAAAGGGGGAAATCCTCCTTAAGAGTGCTTTAAATGATGAACTTTGCTCGTTTTTGTTCCGTTTGCGTGGTTAAAGCGGACGAGTTTAGTCACTACATGCTTTACTTTGCAGTTTTCAGGTGAAGGAATCGTCATCCAGCCCTCAAATCAGAGAAAGGCGTGGATTTAAAGTCTGCAGCTCCCGTAATAAAGTTGAATGAACAGTCGAGGCGAGCCGTTTACTTTTATGTCTTTATTCTATTTCTTTTGCCGTTCACCAAGAGTTGGCGGTCGAGTTTTGCTTACAGAGCGGCAGACTGCATGTTTGAACTCATGGAAGGAGAGGGGGGGCTAAAAGCTTCTTTTTTGCTCTACTGATGATTAATGTCTTAATATTTTTAGATATGGTGTGGTTTTGGTTTTTGATATTCACCCACAACAAACCACGACGACGATGCATTTAGGTCATTTCTAAGATGCTTGTGCCATATTGAAGTGTGTGTGTGTTGCTGTTTCAGAGGTTATCACTTCATTTTGCAATAAAAATCGGCCGGAGGGAAGCGGGACTGTCGTCGAATTACAGATCTTTAGTTTTTCCCGAGCTGTTTGAAATCAGAAGCACATACATTTGTAGTGAAAAGTTAAAAAAACAAAAAGGTGTAGAAGAAATATTATAAATGTGAAGATGTATTATGCCCTCAGACACAGGAATTATTGAATATGAAAAGAAGCCAGCTGTTGTGTTTTAAAACGGTTTTAAGTAACACATTAGGACCCCGATACCTTTGTTGTTGTTTTTTTTTTTTTTTTTTTTTTTTTTTTTTTTTTTTAAAGAGACAGTGAGTTTAGGCACCATTCGTCCTCCGTATGGTTTTTGATGCGCTTGGCTGTTTGCGAGGGCTCTGTGCTTGTACTTCTGTCAGGATCTTTTTATTTTCTACTCCCAAAAAAGAAAAGGAAAAAAAAAAAGAAAAACAACAACAGCAAGTGGGTCTGTATGTGAGTCTTGCATGCCATTGTTATTATCTGTACTGGTGTCCCTGAAACCTACGTGGCAAGATCACTCATTTCTAAAAAGGCAAGCAGCCCTGCAGCTCTGACCAGGTACCGCCAGCCTCATCCAAAGAGACTGTACAACTTTACTTCGAGCCCACGTCCAAGGAGCCGCTCGCTGACCTGTGGGGGAGGAGGGACAGAGGGAGGGGAGGCACTCGGCTTCCTCCTCCCCCCTGACAGTAGCCGTCATCAGTGGTGAAAAATAGTTTTGTTTCTTTTTTTGTGTGTGCATAAGCTGCTAGTGAATCCTGCGGACAGACTGCAGGCGGGAGATGAATGAGAACATTGACTCTTGTTGCATAACACTCATAAACTGACACTAAAATATATATATATATGTATCTGAGTGAGGCCCTCTGGTCTGCAGGATTCACAGCTTCCTGGAGTCACAGACGTCCCCTCGGGATGTCGAGTTTAACAGTCCATAATGCCATTGTGTTGCACAGTTAAAGTTGAATTGCAGAAGTATCATATTTGTAAAATCATGAGAACAAAGACAATAAAATTATTGAGATTTATCGGTGGAGTCTCATTTTGCTTCATTAATGTTTCTTTGCTGTGCAGAAATGCATGTGAGAGAATAATGTCCAGTTTAAAAGTACACTGGGGGGTAAAGACTAAAAATTAAGCAGAGTCTACTGGGAATTCCCATATCTCAGTCTGTGCAGATCAGTTTATGATAAAACTGGATTAAATGAAGCACCAAATCACAATAGGTGCCTCAAGATGCTTTATGTTGTAAGGTAAAGACCCTACAATAATACAAAAAAACCCCAACAATCAGAGGACTGCTAAGAGTAAGCGGTTTGGTGACAGTGGGAAGAAAAAACCCTTTTAATAGAAAGAAACCTAGAGGGAGGGGTGCCCATCTGCTAGGACTGATTTGAGGTGAGGTGAGGAAGACGGGACAGAAGGAAAACAGAAGAGAGGCAGACATAATAACTAATGATTAAATGAAGAAAGGTGGGTGGAAAAAGGTGAGTGAAGAAGAAACAGTGCATCATGGCAAGTCCCCAGCAGCTAAGGCCTACTGCAGCATAACTAAGGGAAGATTCAGAGTCACCTGATCCAACCATAACTATATGCTTTATCAAAAAAAAAAAAAAAACCCTGTTAAGCCCGTCTGTCTCCCGAATCCAAGCTGGGAGCTGGTTCCAACCTCCCATTCTACTTTTAAATATCCTAGGAACCACAAGTAAGCTTGCAGTCCTGGAAGTCTGCAAAGTGCTCCATTGGGGTGATTATAGTACTGTAAGGTAGTTAAGATAAGATGGGGCCTGATTATTCAAGAGTTTATATGTGAGAATAATTTTAAACTTGATTCTGGATTTAGCAGAGGGGCCAATGAAGAGAAGCCCATATACGCTCTCTTTCTAGTGTTTTTCAGTACTAGCTGCAGCATTGGTGGATCAACTAGTTGTTTTAACAAGCTGAAAAAAACAAACAAAACTATAACGGCTACATGTAAGCAATCTGTTAGACAATTTATGCAGCTGTGGTTAAATAAGAGCGTACATTTACAGTATTTCCCTGTTCACAGGGGCCTTGTAGCAGGTTTAACTGGTCCTGGTGTTCAGAAAGGGAAGACAGCTTTCCTTAATATTAAGATATTGACAATTTAACTATTTGCCTTATTTTCATATACTGAGGTGAGAACTTTTACATCACCTTTATATTTGTGCATCAGCCAAATGTGAAACTACGTAAACCTGAGGCAGGTTGCTTGAGTTATTGAGTGCTTCATTGTTCAAAGCTTAAATAAGTCAACCAAAATAATAAATGAATATATTTAATAAAAATGTCTTTTTTTATAAGGAAATGTAGATTTAGCCTAACTGAAGAAGATGGGTATAACCTTTTATGCAGCCCTGTGTTGTGATACAGACAAATGACAGGAGGCCTGGCTGTACAAGAGTATAAAGGCAATTTTGTGTTCAGCAACTCTTTTTTTAGAAAGTGTTGCTACAATATTTAGAGGCTTTAAAAGTCATTACAGCAGCATTTCTTTATTTTGTAGCAAAAATGGAGACATTCTGTTGTCTTGTGATTAATGCATGCAGAAAAAAACAGCACAATATTTTAGCAGATTTAAGATCTACAAAAATCTGAGAAACCACAGCATGAAAGTGAATCATTTGGAGCACGGAGCACAATGTTTACACTGAAAACAACTGGAGTAGAAACAGAGACAGCACCACAAATGCACACATAAACTGTGTGTAAAATAAAAATGTGCTGCACTTGCCACAACCTGCTCTGGAAGTTGTTCGACCAGTTCTTTGTTTCCTCCTGGATTTTTTTTTAAAATTTGGCTTTCATTTTGATGTCAGATCTTCTTTCTCTAGATTAGCAGCACCTGCGACCTGTTTTCTTCCCTTTATTCCAACAACTTCCACATCCTAAAATTATTTGTGGGATTTGCACCAGAATGGTGGATTATTTCCCAGCTCTTTTTATTAATTCAGGAAGATGTTACCATCGTGCTCTTTGGGTTTTATGATTCTGGTGGTGGCTTTGAAGACGCTGGGTGGTAACTCAGGTGAGTTTTGGATACTCTGTGTGGAAGTTTGATAGATAATTAGAAAAAACAGGACTGGGACAGGTTAGTGTACTTTTCACTCTAAAGTGAAACAGTCCCACTGGTACAAAGTAAAAGTTTCAGGTAAGCAAACAAAAATATAACATGTTTATATATAATGTTTGTATTCATGATTAAAGTCATACTCTGCACTTTTGGCAACCAAACACAACCACGGAACTGTCTGCCATACATACAAAAAATGCTACAGGTACAACAAATGAAGTGACAAATGACATATTTATTGAATATAAACCAGAACCAGAGAGCACTGCATGTTCAACACAGTTTGGGCCTAACTTCACCAAAGAACCATTTTATTGGTGTGGTGTGTTTGTGTATAAGTGTGTTTTACTCCTCCTTGTCATCAGTCTCATAGTATATGTTTACTATCCAGAATAATGTTAACATCCTGTAAGCTTTACTGTGCATACTTTTGTTTCGAGTCTGCCCGGCTGCCCGAGGCTTCACTTGTGCTGCTTTAAGTTTTAAGAATACACAATAACAGTAACACTGCCATATAAACAAATGTTCATAAATAAAATTAATTATTTTAATGTGCTGTTAAGCTACAAACCTGATTAAAAATGATAATAATAATAACAATAACAAAGTATTTGTGATGTAACCGACCACTTTTAATTGTATTAGTATATTTAAAATTAGTGATAACATTGTGAAACACTGAAAGGTTTGAAGCATGCTTCACAAGTTTTCTAACAGTCTGACAGCCAACTCCACAGTGACCCCTAATCACATCTTGGTAACGTAATTCTGTGAAACAACGAGACAAACCAGTGCTGCACAACTGTAAATAAGGCTCCTTATTACAGTAAAGCAACCTATCAGTAATTATGACTGACACATGTTTTGGAGAAATCCATGTGTACAAACAAGGAAAGAAAAAACTCTGAGACCGTTAAAGACAGAAACCTGTGATTGTGGTGAATGGCTCACTTCACTAAGGAAATCCTTGCTGTACTTCGATGGTAATCAGTGTTATGCTGTAAAAGAGGATCTTTCAGTGGTGCAAATTCTTAACAAACCTATGATTACTCAAATAATGTTGACTTTAATCACACGGCATAACCTTTGCATACTAACCCAAACCATTTAAATACCAGCTTTCACAAGTATGTTCACTTAGATTTCAGTGCAAAGTATTGTACATTTCACTTCATTCACTAGTGATGTAATAAATAGATTCATCATATAAAAGTACAACGTTGTAAAAGGCTGATGTATCATCAAGATGAATGTTTACACATTTTTGCTTTGCACATGGAATTCATGTCTATAAATATATAAATAGTTACAGTGGATCTGCTGCTTAAGCTATTTAGCATGATCAATAAGTACTGTAAGTAGTAGGGGTGCAACGATACACAAAATTCACGGTTCGGTTCGATACTTTGGTGTCACGGTTCAATATTTTTTCGATACAAAAAAATGTTCATGCCTTTTTAATTTGTCATTTATTAAAATTATAAATATATATTTTAACTCAAAAGTACAGTTTTTAAATTTAATGTTGCTGAAACAGCAAAGTAATAAAAAATAAATCTATCTGATCGAGAAATCACTCATCTTTGGAAAAGAGAGTTTATTACAGAGAAATGGCTCTTTCCAAAATAAAAGCTATACTATACGCTTCTTCTGGGCTATATTCTCAGCAGCATATTAAACATATCAGGTCCCCATAAGGAGAATCATGTGCTAATTTGCCTTTTCTTATAGAGTAAATTAAATTTGCTGAAATTCCTCCCACAGCTGACTAGAGTCAAGAACACATAATAGAAATGCTAAAAAATAAAAAAAGGAAATTAAAATAGAGCAGTCAGAGTTTTCAAAGCGTTCTGGGGGAAGCTGGGGACACTGAGTCAGAATGGTTCATGCAGTGGTCGGTGTCTACCATAGCAGAAACCCCCAAATGAGAAGTAAAGAGTTCTGTCAAGCTGAAGAAGGAGTCCTATCCAGCTTTTCTGGCCCATAAAACTCTGGAGGTGGGTAACAGACAGCCTCCTGGTAGGAGTCGAGTTTGGCCATGGAACCAGACTTAAGGGTGGTGTTGAAGCAAAGATTCAGGTAGGGGAAGCTGCTCAGTGCTGACTTCCAACTCCATGAGTATCGTGCTTCTTAACCTCTCCCTGGAAAGGTTTATGTCAGGGTGCTGGAGATGAGAATCTGACCATTAATCATATCAGATTGAAGAGGAATTGATCAACCTGTTGACATGTGTTTTGTGCACTTCAACATTCTAAC